TTTCTTCTGCTATCAAGTTTAGCTTATGTAAATTTTATCTCCACCTCACTGAATATTTCTTGTGTCGCCCACAGGTGGGCAGCTGACTCTGGAAGACGAGAACAAAAGAACCAGGACAGCTTACACGCGAGGTCAACTCCTGGAGCTGGAGAAGGAGTTCCACTTCAACAAATACATCTCCCGTCCACGCAGGATCGAACTGGCCGCCATGCTAAGTCTAACAGAGCGTCATATTAAAATCTGGTTCCAAACCGCCGTATGAAATGGAAGAAGGACGAAGCCAAGCGAAGGCCACATCTGCAGCTCACGTCTGACGGCAGGGAGCCCTCAACCACGCCTCCATCTTTTGCAGATGGACAAGAAGGTGACGAGTATAACGATGTTAAAATTAGATGCGAGAATTCCCCAAAGATGGACAGTAAATTTGGTTTAATGTGCGGTGATTCAAATACAACGGAATCCTTTGTGGAGACAATGCCACAACCAGCTAAATCAAATGAACGCAAGAAGTAACAGTAGCGATGGATACAAAACAAACTGGCAGATGATGTTTTCTACTGCCAACTTCAAGTCAGTACATGACACAGTTGGCATCCCATTGACTATATAGACACTGCATTTTATTTATATCAATAGGTAGTCAGTGGCTAATGTGGTGAATACCACACAGACCGCCTTTGTATCATATAACATTTCCTTGCACCAATTTTTGGCTATGCCGACCTGAGAAAAGAACTGCTTATCTTAATTATGGTGTAACGGCCAACCGAACGCTGGCGGATCCGAAAGTTGTCAATTCAAAATCCAAAAAAGCTGGACTTTCTACAATGACCTTTGCTCCCAGGTCGACACAGGCTTAAATGGGAACCAGGTAAAGTCTTTGGAAATAAAGGCGGTTGAGGTGATGTTTACCACTCCCCCGGCACTCTTGAGTACCGATTGGTCTATCAAATGTAGGTATAGCACTATGTGCCTAACACGCCTGACGACGTGGAAAAGGGTTCCTTCCTACCTCTTGTAGCTTGGGGACACATGATCACAGCCCTGCCCACCAAGTGTTCTAGTACCCTGGGGACACATGATCACAGCACTGCCCACCAAGTGTTCTAGTACCCTGGGGACACATGATCACAGCCCTGCCCACCAAGTGTTCTAGTACCCTGGGGACACATGATCACAGCACTGCCCACCAAGTGTTCTAGTAGCTTGGGGACACATGATCACAGCACTGCCCACCAAGTGTTCTAGTAGCTTGGGGACACATGATCACAGCCGTGCCCACCAAGTGTTCTAGTAGCTTGGGGACACATGATCACAGCACTGCCCACCAAGTGTTCTAGTAGCTTGGGGACACATGATCACAGCACTGCCCACCAAGTGTTCTAGTAGCTTGGGGACACATGATCACAGCCGTGCCCACCAAGTGTTCTAGTAGCTTGGGGACACATGATCACAGCCCTGCCCACCAAGTGTTCTAGTAGCTTGGGGACACATGATCACAGCCGTGCCCACCAAGTGTTCTAGTAGCTTGGGGACACATGATCACAGCCCTGCCCACCAAGTGTTCTAGTAGCTTGGGGACACATGATCACAGCCGTGCCCACCAAGAGTTCTAGTAGCTTGGGGACACATGATCACAGCCCTGCCCACCAAGTGTTCTAGTAGCTTGGGGACACATGATCACAGCCTCGTGCCCACCAAGTGTTCTAGTAGCTTGGGGACACATGATCACAGCCGTGCCCACCAAGTGTTCTAGTAGCTTGGGGACACATGATCACAGCCCTGCCCACCAAGTGTTCTAGTAGCTTGGGGACACATGATCACAGCCCTGCCCACCAAGTGTTCTAGTAGCTTGGGGACACATGATCACAGCCCTGCCCACCAAGTGTTCTAGTAGCTTGGGGGACACATGATCACAGCCCTGCCCACCAAGTGTTCTAGTAGCTTGGGGACACATGATCACAGCCGTGCCCACCAAGAGTTCTAGTAGCTTGGGGACACATGATCACAGCACTGCCCACCAAGTGTTCTAGTAGCTTGGGGACACATGATCACAGCCGTGCCCACCAAGAGTTCTAGTAGCTTGGGGACACATGATCACAGCCGTGCCCACCAAGTGTTCTAGTAGCTTGGGGACACATGATCACAGCCCTGCCCACCAAGTGTTCTAGTAGCTTGGGGACACATGATCACAGCCGTGCCCACCAAGAGTTCTAGTAGCTTGGGGACACATGATCACAGCCCTGCCCACCAAGTGTTCTAGTAGCTTGGGGACACATGATCACAGCCGTGCCCACCAAGTGTTCTAGTAGCTTGGGGACACATGATCACAGCCGTGCCCACCAAGTGTTCTAGTAGCTTGGGGACACATGATCACAGCCCTGCCCACCAAGAGTTCTAGTAGCTTGGGGACACATGATCACAGCCCTGCCCACCAAGTGTTCTAGTAGCTTAGAGACACATGATCACAGCCCTGCCCACCAAGTGTTCTAGTAGCTTAGAGACACATGATCACAGCCCTGCCCACCAAGTGTTCTAGTAGCTTGGGGACACATGATCACAGCACTGCCCACCAAGTGTTCTAGTAGCTTGGGGACACATGATCACAACACTGCCCACCAAGTGTTCTATAGCTTGGGGACACATGATCACAGCACTGCCCACCAAGTGTTCTAGTAGCTTGGGGACACATGATCACAGCACTGCCCACCAAGTGTTCTAGTAGCTTGGGGACACATGATCACAGCACTGCCCACCAAGTGTTCTAGTAGCTTGGGGACACATGATCACAGCCCTGCCCACCAAGTGTTTCTAGTAGCTTTGGGGACACATGATCACAGCCCTGCCCACCAAGTGTTCTAGTAGCTTGGGGACACATGATCACAGCACTGCCCACCAAGTGTTCTAGTAGCTTGGGGACACATGATCACAGCACTGCCCACCAAGTGTTCTAGTAGCTTGGGGACACATGATCACAGCCCTGCCCACCAAGTGTTCTAGTAGCTTGGGGACACATGATCACAGCCCTGCCCACCAAGTGTTCTAGTAGCTTGGGGACACATGATCACAGCACTGCCCACCAAGTGTTCTAGTAGCTTGGGGACACATGATCACAGCACTGCCCACCAAGTGTTCTAGTAGCTTGGGGACACATGATCACAGCACTGCCCACCAAGTGTTCTAGTAGCTTGGGGACACATGATCACAGCCCTGCCCACCAAGTGTTCTAGTAGCTTGGGGACACATGATCACAGCACTGCCCACCAAGTGTTCTAGTAGCTTGGGGGACACATGATCACAGCACTGCCCCACCAAGTGTTCTAGTAGCTTGGGGACACATGATCACAGCACTGCCCCCAAGTGTTCTAGTAGCTTGGGGACACATGATCACAGCACTGCCCACCAAGTGTTCTAGTAGCTTGGGGACACATGATCACAGCACTGCCCACCAAGTGTTCTAGTAGCTTGGGGACACATGATCACAGCACTGCCCACCAAGTGTTCTAGTAGCTTGGGGACACATGATCACAGCACTGCCCACCAAGTGTTCTAGTAGCTTGGGGACACATGATCACAGCACTGCCCACCAAGTGTTCTAGTAGCTTGGGGACACATGATCACAGCACTGCCCACCAAGTGTTCTAGTAGCTTGGGGACACATGATCACAGCACTGCCCACCAAGTGTTCTAGTAGCTTGGGGACACATGATCACAGCACTGCCCACCAAGTGTTCTAGTAGCTTGGGGACACATGATCAACAGCACTGCCCACCAAGTGTTCTAGTAGCTTGGGGACACATGATCACAGCACTGCCCACCATGTTCTAGTAGCTTGGGGACACTGATCACAGCACTGCCCACCAAGTGTTCTAGTAGCTTGGGGACACATGATCACAGCACTGCCCACCAAGTGTTCTAGTAGCTTGGGGAACATGATCACAGCACTGCCCACCAAGTTTTCTAGTAGCTTGGGGACACATGATCACAGCCCTGCCGACCAAGTGTTCTAGTAGCTTGGGGACACATGATCACAGCCCTGCCGACCAAGTGTTCTAGTAGCTTGGGGACACATGATCACAGCACTGCCCACCAAGTGTTCTAGTAGCTTGGGGACACATGATCACAGCCCTGCCCCACCAAGTGTTCTAGTAGCTTGGGGACACATGATCACAGCACTGCCCACCAAGTGTTCTAGTAGCTTGGGGACACATGATCACAGCCGTGCCCCACCAAGTGTTCTAGTAGCTTGGGGACACTTGATCACAGCACTGCCCACCAAGTGTTCTAGTAGCTTGGGGGACACATGATCACAGCCCCTGCCCACCAAGTGTTCTAGTAGCTTGGGGACACATGATCACAGCACTGCCCACCAAGTGTTCTAGTAGCTTGGGGACACATGATCACAGCCCTGCCCACCAAGTGTTCTAGTAGCCTGGGGACACATGATCACAGCACTGCCCACCAAGTGTTCTAGTAGCCTGGGGACACATGATCACAGCACTGCCCACCAAGTGTTCTAGTAGCCTGGGGACACATGATCACAGCACTGCCCACCAAGTGTTCTAGTAGCCTGGGGACACATGATCACAGCACTGCCCACCAAGTGTTCTAGTAGCCTGGGGACACATGATCACACCGGATTCTGCCCACCAAGTGTTCTAGTAGCCTTGGGGACACATGATCACAGCCCTGCCCACCAAGTGTTCTAGTAGCCTGGGGACACATGATCACAGCCGTGCCCACCAAGTGTTCTAGTAGCCTGGGGACACATGATCACAGCCGTGCCCACCACGTGTTCTAGTAGCCTGGGGACACATGATCACAGCCGTGCCCACCAAGTGTTCTAGTAGCTTGCGGACACATGATCACAGCACTGCCCTCCAAGTGTTCTAGTAGCTTGGGGACAACATGATCACAGCCCTGCCCACCAAGTGTTCTAGTAGCTTGGGGACACATGATCACAGCCCTGCCCACCAAGTGTTCTAGTAGCTTGGGGACACATGATCACAGCCGTGCCCCACCAAGTGTTCTAAGTAGCTTGGGGACACATGATCACCCGTGGTGACACATGATCACAGCCCTGTCCACCAAGTGTTCTAGTAGCTTGGGGACACATGATCACAGCACTGCCCACCAAGTGTTCTAGTAGCTTGGGGACACATGATCACAGCACTGCCCACCAAGTGTTCTAGTAGCTTGGGGACACATGATCACAGCCCTGCCCACCAATGTGTTCTAGTAGCTTGGGGACACATGATCACAGCCTGCCCACCAAGTGTTCTAGTAGCTTGGGGACACATGATCACAGCCGTGCCCACCAAGTGTTCTAGTAGCTTGGGGACACATGATCACAGCCCTGCCCACCAAGTGTTCTAGTAGCTTGGGGACACATGATCACAGCACTGCCCACCAAGTGTTCTAGTAGCTTGGGGACACATGATCACAGCCGTGCCCACCAAGTGTTCTAGTAGCTTGGGGACACATGATCACAGCCGTGCCCACCAAGAGTTCTAGTAGCTTGGGGACACATGATCACAGCCACTGCCCCACCAAGTGTTCTAGTAGCTTGGGGACACATGATCACAGCCCTGCCCACCAAGTGTTCTAGTAGCCTGGGGACACATGATCACAGCCGTGCCCACCAAGAGTTCTAGTAGCTTGGGGACACATGATCACAGCACTGCCCACCAAGTGTTCTAGTAGCTTGGGGACACATGATCACAGCACTGCCCACCAAGTGTTCTAGTAGCTTGGGGACACATGATCACAGCACTGCCCACCAAGTGTTCTAGTAGCTTGGGGACACATGATCACAGCACTGCCCACCAAGTGTTCTAGTAGCTTGGGGACACATGATCACAGCACTGCCCACCAAGTGTTCTAGTAGCTTGGGGACACATGATCACAGCCGTGCCCACCAAGTGTTCTAGTAGCCTGGGGACACATGATCACAGCCGTGCCCACCAAGAGTTCTAGTAGCTTGGGGACACATGATCACAGCACTGCCCACCAAGTGTTCTAGTAGCTTGGGGACACATGATCACAGCACTGCCCACCGAGTGTTCTAGTAGCTTGGGGACACATGATCACAGCACTGCCCACCAAGTGTTCTAGTAGCTTGGGGACACATGATCACAGCACTGCCCACCGAGTGTTCTAGTAGCTTGGGGACACATGATCACAGCACTGCCCACCAAGTGTTCTAGTAGCTTGGGGACACATGATCACAGCACTGCCCACCAAGTGTTCTAGTAGCTTGGGGACACATGATCACAGCCGTGCCCACCAAGTGTTCTAGTAGCTTGGGGACACATGATCACAACACTGCCCACCAAGTGTTCTAGTAGCCTGGGGACACATGATCACAGCCCTGCCCACCAAGTGTTCTAGTAGCTTGGGGACACATGATCACAGCCCTGCCCACCAAGTGTTCTAGCTTACTGGCTGTTTCGGCTTCCGAAGAAATAAATGTTGTTGGCAGCTTTCCAACTTTCCAGATGATAGTGTTATGTTGTGCTATAAGGAAGCATGAGAATCACAGCCCATGGCGATGGCGAGTGCGACTAGCAAGACACTCTTGCGTTCAGAAAAGTATTCTATGGCTTAAAACATTGCCAGTATTGTAAAGATCATGCATTGCCTATGCATTTTGATCCTTTTGCCGACCGGGCTCCAAAGGAGAGGTAACACCTGTGTTTGGAGAAGAGCTTGCGGCATATATCACCGGATCAGAAGTACAGTGCTCCGTCTCTCTAGGTCGCTTACTTATCTTAGTAAACGTTGGGTGTCAGTTATTGAAAATTCGCATGAAACTTGTCAACAGTCATGTTCTTGTAAGGCATAATTATAATGTAAACAAAGATGGGTTTTTCCCCCGAATTTGCGGTTTTGTGAAAAGACTGAATCAACGCATTCACTGAACATTCATTCATTCAGTAGCATGTCCCTCGCGGAACCTCGCTGCCATAACAACCCTTCGGAAAACCTTCCTATCCTGAGCAAGATGTCCTGCGTCTGATACACCCATCTGGAGATCATCTGCCACATCCTGCACCCATCTTCTCCTTGGCCTTCCTCTTCCTCTCTTCCCAGGCATATACCCCTCCATTATTGTTCTCTCTAGACTTCCATGACGTTTCAAGTGACCAAAATATTTCAATTTTCTTTTTTTATTGTCTTTACTAGCCAACTCTCTTCAATATTCAGCTCTTGAAGTATGGATGCACTGAACATACTTACAGTAATCAAGTGGCACGAAATTTTGAAAGCATTGAATTGCACTTTTTAGAGGTAATGTTTGCGAAAAACAGCCTTTTACTCTTAGGTAATCAATCTTCTGCATCTGCCTCCAGTGAAATAGTATATGCACACAACATTTCATTGTGTGCTGAACAGGCTATCAAAATAATTTCTGCGCATGGCTGCACGAGTGAAATCATCTCCAAATCAATATCCACGCTTGCGGTTTAAAGTATACGATTTAGGTCAAATTCCAATGTTTAGGGGCACACAAATTATTAATCCGTCAAATAATTGTTTTTTTAATGTCGCCGCTTTAAGAAAACAGTAGCACCTGTGGAATTGTGAATTATACAGTACTAATGACATAAGTGCTGATCCGAACAGTTTCTTAATTCCAATTCCATTTCTTTTCTAAACAGCTCGACTACGTTCACGTTTTGCTCTTAGCTAGCCGAGGCCACCAACAGTCTCCGGTTTTATTTGTGGTCTTGTTTATTTGTGCAACTTTCTTTGCTAAAGTTATGGAATTTATGCCTGTTCTCTGACTTAGTCCGTCTTCCCTCCAGGTCAGACCGCTCGATCCTTGTCTCCGTCCGAGGGTGTTTCTCGTGCCCTTATATTTCCGATGTTTCCTCTTAGTTCAATGCGAACAGAAGTTTTGAAAGTATTTGTTGAAGTCTGAGTGCACGATTTTTGAAAGTTTATCTAGTGCAGTAATACTGTCACCGGAAAAAATATTTATCCAATGTAGTAATACTGTCACCTGAAGAAATGTTTATCCACTGAAGACATACTGTCACCTGAAGAAATGTTTATCCAGTGTAGTCATACTGTCACCTGAAGAAATGTTTATCCACTGTAGACATACTGTCACCTGAAGAAATATTTATCCAGTGTAGTCATACTGTCACCTGAAGAAATGTTTATCCAGTGTTGCCATACTGTCACCTGAAGAAATATTTATCCAGTGTAGTCATACTGTCACCTGAAGAAATGTTTATCCAGTGTAGTCATACTGTCACCTGAAGAAATGTTTATCGAGTGTAGCCATACTGTCACCTGAAAAAATATTTATCCAGTGTAGTCATACTGTCACCTGAAGAAATGTTTATCCAGTGTAGTCATACTGTCACCTGAAGAAATGTTTATCCAGTGTAGTCATACTGTCACCTGAAGAAATGTTTATCCAGTGTAGTCATACTGTCACCGGAAGAAATGTTTATCCAGTGTAGTCATACTGTCACCTGAAGAAATGTTTATCCAGTGTTGCCATACTGTCACCTGAAGAAATGTTTATCCAGTATTGTCATACTGTCACCTGAAGAAATGTTTATCCAGTGTTGCCATACTGTCACCTGGAGAAATGTTTATCCAGTGTTGCCATACTGTCACCGGAAGAAATGTTTATCCAGTGTTGCCATACTGTCACGTGAAGAAATGTTTATCCAGTGTAGTCATACTGTCACCTGAAGAAATATTTATCCAGTACAGTAATACCATGTGACGCGAAAAGCAATCGTGTCATATGGAGCAAAACTGGCACGTTACGAAAACGTGATGAAAATTACATTAGACTGTTGTAAAACACCATCAAGTTGTTTAGTCAAAGTTCCTGATAGCGTGTTAAGTCTACTGTCTATGTAGTGCGAGCGCCATATTTGAAATCAGTTATCATTCCATGTAGGTTTCAAAAGACTTCTTTTACTTCCTGAAACAATTCCTCATATATGGCTGGATCGACCTAGGAATTTAATTCTTTGAAAACGAGAGCCATTTGATTGAGATTTGAGCATGCGAGTATTGTCACAGTATTGTTTATAAAATATTATTGTTAAGTTTGCTTACAAAGTCTGTCGCCCATCTGTTGTCTTTGAGTGCCCAGATCGCATAGTATTTTTTTTTTAAATATATTTGTTGAGGCTGCAAAATGGCTACTGTGTGTTAAGTATGACCGGGGACTGTAAATAGTTCCCGTTTGTTTGCTGGTTGGCTGTTGAAATGTTTGTTTCATTGGTTCATTTGATAGTTGCTCGGCTGTTGGTTGGTTGACTGTTGGGATAATTATTTAGTTTGCTACTTGAATGGTTGCATAGCTGGTTTGTTTGTTTCTTGGTAGTTGGATTTTCGTTTCGCTGAAAGGCATGTGGAGGAGACCTGAGCAGAAAGTCTTGAGTTGGTTACTTTGAAGTTTCAGGTAGCCTCAGCCCTGATAACGACTGGCATGTCAAGGGTTAACAGTGAAAGTTTGCAGGGGAGAGAATTGACGATTGATTGGGACTTTTCTGTCTTTCCAGACTTTATTGCACCCTGTTTTATCTCTTGTGGCTCGGTCTCTATCACCAGAACGCTTAGCTGACTTCCGAGGGTATCATACAAATCATGATCTCTGTAGCTCCAGTAACGATCCATGGAAATCTCTGCTAAAACTGAACTTCTGAACCGAACGATGCAGACGTGAAATAAATCAACAACCTTCAAGGTGCGAGGCGAACGGTTTGTCCTCTTCGCCTCCAAGACCACAGCATTTACATGAAAAGATATCAGACCAAACAAAGTGTAGAACTAGTCAGCTGTACAATACAACAATCATAAATAACAAGTGAACATTGCAGCTAGAAAGCTCTCATCAGAATATTACATGAAATGACAATGTTACAGTTACAAACAAGACTACACAAATATCCCTTAACTAAAGTATCATTGAGGCTTTCCTCCAGACTCGACTTTTCTCTAGACTCGACTTTTCTCTAGACTCGACTTTTATCTTGACTCGACTTTTCTCTAGACTCGGCACCGAACCACCAGGAGGCTAGTGTCTAGATCAGAACTTTTCAACTCAGTCAACTCAGGGCCCAACATTTTGAAAACTGGGATCGTCACGGCCCAGATACCCGAACTCCAGCATATCAGTTATATAATATGTGTCTGTGAATTCATAGTGCACTTTTGACTGGTCGCAGGAAAGCAACAAAAAGAAGACATAAATTTGAAATCTGCTCCAATTAAAGGGAAAACACTCCAAGTTTTGTAGTGTGATGTGTAGGTGTGTGATCACACAGGTGATGACGTCGTTCGACGAACTGCACTGAATAGGCACGGAACTTGGAGAGTTTTCCTTTCATTTGGTGAAGATTTCACATTTGTCTTTTATGTTGATTTTCTGTGACAGGTCTAAAGTGGATCATGACTTGACGGACACATGAAGGCAACTGGCAATGATCCGCGGGCCATTTGCTAGGCCAACGCGGGCCAGATGCAGCCCACGACCTACCAGTTGAATGACCCTGATGTAGACTTTGATATTACCATAAACTAAACCCCCCAAAATTTACATAAAATGTGTGTATGATTGTACATATACTATTGTAATGATGCAATGAAGAAAGATCATGAATTTGATGTGTGTAGTTATTGGAATACTACCAATAACAAAACCGATGTCTTTAATGTATTATTGTATATACACATGTCAAACTTTACAATGATAAATAAAACATGAAAGCGATGTTTAGTTGTACATAAATATTGAAAAATTGTTGGAATTAAACCAAAGTCAAGATGTATGTTTCTGTAAACTTATGACAATAAAACCTGAAGTGAAACAAGCAAGGTGTATGGTTGTATAAACTGTGTTCGATTAAAAGCATATATATTGTTGCACACTTTAACTAGGCCTGTGTTCATTGAGGCCACTCCCACAAAGTTTGTGTGTGTTTCAGGACATCTGATATGTAAGAGGGTCTTTAAATTAACAATTTTACAGAATGACGGAAATTAACGTCCCTATGCCATTTTCTTGTAACTTGTCACAACTGTTGTTAAAGATGTCAAGTGTGTTAAGTACGTGACATTACAGAGCAGACCAACTCGGTGAATGAATTTAAATGGGCTTCACCCCTTTACTGATTAAAATACTGGTAATAGCACGCTGCACTTTTGTGTGCATGTCAAAAGTGGGGTGACAATTTTTAAACTGTCATGACGTTTTTCTTCTTCTCTTCCACCATTGACCTCCCCGAGGTGTTGGGGAATATGTAAGGATCGTTCGTTTGCTTTTTCCAATGCATTGTACAAGTTGGTGTTCATTTCTGTTAGGTTGCTCTTGATGATGTCACTACATAACATGCATGGTCTTTCTATTCCTCAGTATTCATTAAATTTCATCAGCGTGGCTCTCTGTGGCAGTTGGTACCAGGGCGTTCTCACAAGGTGTCCAAACCATCTAATTTATTGTTCTTGAAATGTACGACTGGTTTCAGTTCTTCTAATTTCTGCATTCTTGATTGTATCTCTTCTTGTCACACCGGCAGCTCTCCTAAGACATCTCATCTCTCTTGTTACGATCTTCCGCTTGGTAGTTGTAGTAAGGGTCCATGTTTGGCACTGGTAGCACAATGTCGGCTTAAAAACCGTTCTTATGAGATTTCCTTTGGTTGACAGAGAAATCTTTCTATGCGTCAGAAGCGGTGTTAATTGTCCCATAACCTGATTTGCTTTCGCGCATCGTATGTTGATTCTGTATCCATTCTTTCGTCTGAGGTGATAAATGAATCTAGATATTTAAATTCGCACGTTTGTTTCTGTGTTATTTACTTTTATTGATATGGTTTCTTCTTGTCTACCTAGTATTATCTCTTATAAATACTTACATTATATATATCAAACTTAGTGTTGACTTCGTTTATGTGGTTTTGTAAACTCTCTTCTGTTTTAGCTAATAATACTTGGTTATCCGCATATAACAATTTTAAGATATCATCCTTTTTTTTTTATATAAACAAAAAGCAGGGGAGATAACACACATCTCTGTGTTACTCCGGAATTTACTTTAAAAGGTTGCGATGTACCAGCTTTGGTACTTATGCAACATTTACTTGATCTATATAAGCTCTTACAAACTTCAGTTTGGTGTTTGATGATTTCATATCTTCTTAAGCAATTCCACAACATATTCATATCTACTCTGTCAAATGCTTTTTTCTGATCTATAAATGCGGCTCTGCTTGTTTTATCATATTCTATTGCTCTTTCTGTCAACTGTTGTCACGCATTAACAATATATCCTTACGTCTATTTTAGGACGTAATTTTTTGTTATTTGAAGCCCCACTCTGGCTTTTGCCAGGGGCCGCAATATAGGCAGGCCATAAATATGGCCAATTGTCTGAACGCTGTTTCTGGGACCTATCCACGGTGATCCTCATCCACATGGTGGCACTTTGTGTCATCGGGTGTTTATCGCTTGTGTGATGTCCTGGTGGGGTAGAAAATCAGTCAGTCAGTCAGTCAACTGTCACATTTTAAATTTTGATCTGTGCAGATTCTGTTACGATCTGAACCCATTTGGGCTTCTGAAAGTTGATTCTTATACTAATGGTCTTAATTAATATATATATTATATATATATCTATATATATATATATATATATATATATATTATATATAAGATTGTATATGAAAACCACTAGGTAAAAGAGCATCTTTCCAGAATATATATATATATATATATATATATATAATACTATATACATATTATATATATATAAGTATATATATATATATATAAGTATATATATATTATATATATAACATATCTATATATATATAAATAGATCTTATATACTATATACAGATACATATATCGACTATATATATATCGACTATACCTATACAGATATATATATAATATTATATAATTAATATCTATATCCATGATATTAGTAAACATATAGAATCTATATCATATACATTACTTATCATATAATATCATCTTATATACTATATATATAGTATAAATTTCATGATTCCCCGGCGGGGGGGGGGGGGGTGAAAAATGTGGAAAAGAGCAGTCCATTACTCAGAGTTTGTCGGAGAGCAGTAGGGGAGTCGCACGAGAGTGGCACCGTGGAAGAGTCTTTTGTCTCAACACGTAATATTCCCAAAGACACCAGGAGTACACTGTAGCTAACCTTTATTATGGAGACGGCGTACATTTTTATTTTTTATAATACTGATAGAAGTAATATCTGGTCCTTAGCACTATAGGGTTCGGGAAATATAAACTCTAAACAAGGGGAGATCTCGCAAGAAATTTGAAGTGCTCTCTCTCTCTCTGTCTCTGTCTCTCTCTCTCTCTTTCTCTCTCTCTCTCTCTCTCTCTCTCTCTCTCTCTCTCTCTCTTTCTCTCTCGCTTTTGTGGTATTTTAGAACACAGATAATTACGAAAATATGACAACCAGCTGTCAACACATGCTGTGTCATGTTGTCCATATTTATAAATAAATGTGAATGGTGTTAAAATAACGATGCAGTCTATGTCATTCTCCATCATTTATAAAAGAGTTACAATAAATGACATAAAATTGTCCTGGCTTCATTAGCTCGTTCTTCGAGATTTGTGAAAGGATCCGAATAGATGGCATAGACATTGGGAAGGGCCCTTTTGTGACTCATACTTTTGGAATTTTTGGAGGATCTGGACGGGTGACACGAAAAATGTCCCCCTTTGCATGTCTCTTTTTTTTAGCTTTTTTGAAAAGGGTTTTAACAGAAATTTATGAAGATTCAGGGGTTTTTTTGGTCTCATTTTTCCCCGGGGTGTCGAACAGCGACGGCGAAACATCTGAAACCCTTTTCTCCTTTTCCCTTTTTTTTAGCCCTGCAAAAAAACAAAGTGAACACGGGTTTACAAGTAGGGATAAAATATAACTGTGGTTAAAGTTTTGCGGTAAAAAGAGCTTAGGTTTTTTTAAAAATAATACTTTTCCGACTTTTTTAGTTTATTTTTGCATTTTAAAGCATAACTAAAACTTTCTGCATTCTTTTAAAATTTTTAACCCCGTGGTTTTTTTTGGTCCTTTCCACTTCTTTTCTTGTTCTTTATCTTCTTCCTCTCCTTCTTCTTCTTTTTCTTCTTCTTCTTCTTCTTCTTCTTCTTCTTCTTCTTCTTCTTCTTCTTCTCTTCTTCTTCTTCTTCTTCTTCTTCCTTTTTCTTTTTTTCTTTTTCCCTTTTTCTTTTTCCCCTTCTTCTTCTTTTCTTCTTCCCCTTTTTCTTCCCTTTTGCTGCTGCTGCTGCTGCTGCTGCTGCCCGCTGCTGCTGCTTTCCCGCTGCTGCCTTCTTCTTTTCTTCTTTTCTTCCCTTTTCTTTTTTCCCTTTTTCTTCTTCTTCTTCTTCTTCTTTTTTCTTTTTCCCCTTTTTTCTTTTTTGTTTTTTCTTGTTTCT